AGTCATGTAGGCTACTCTCAGGCACCTAAGGGCAACTACAGACCTCGCTGCAGTACTTGGTTTTGTACCAGCTATCACATGTCATCTCATTCTTTAATCTATTTTTTTCAAACCAGAAGTTTCAATCAGTTTGGTTAGTGATTATATGTACCACAGCTTTCCATGCAGTCTTCCTCTGTACTAGCGCACCGCAATAGTGATTTACTCAGGTAACCAATCTCAGTGGCAAACTGCCTCAGAAGACATAGAAAGTAGGAAGTAAATTTTGGAAGCCAGGGTCATTTTCATACAGAAGTCAGCAGGCTTCTGAGATGTCTAGATTTAAGGCATTGATATTTCAACAGTGTTCCTCTACATTAATTCCACATTGCTTGGGGAAGAAGATGCTTGGGGGAGATGTCAAACAGCAACTTTTCACTTTTGTATTCTTTTCATTACCATTTGACTAACATAAGACAGGGAAATGTCATGCCTAGGATGCCTGTCTGTGAAAAGCCTGTACAATACAGAAGCAACTTTTTCAGATAAACAAAATTCAAGTAAAAAAAATGCTTTTGCATAAATAAAAACCAGGAAATGGAACCACATCTACCTAGTAGCACTAGGTCAGCACGATTACTAACACTAGCCGGAGAACCACATGTCCTTGTAATACCTAGGCATGACGGACGACCTTTGTAGCTGGCTAGGAAAAAGTGAGCGGTGATTCAAACTGGCCCTTCCTTGTTTTTACATGCAGGGGTTGTTTTCCTTTCCTCTAAAAACAAGAGACAGCAAACAGAACTGGCGTATTGGGGTGTTCCGAGCCAGCAAGCTACAAAGTTAATGGACAGCTTTTTAGGGCATGGTGACCCATAGCAACGAGCAGAAGTAACAATACACTTCTTTTATCGACTTTGTATTTGGGTGGAAATCACATGCCTCTATTATTGTATAACTTCAGGAATATAAATAAGGTAGCATCTCGCCCATCTGTTTACGGCCACCACACTCCCCCTAACATTGCATTTATCCTCTATTTTGTTTTCTCATATACTTACTCTTCGGTCACTCTCAAGCTCAAATTAGAGTGCTTTCTTCCCTCATTTAAGGAGGAATTGTTCTTTTCTAGATCTATGCAGAAAAATCAGCATATACATTTGCCTTGATTTTTGTTCTGTATTAATATGTCACAATGCTCATAGCAAAGGTGAGCTTAAGGAACTAGTAATTTTGGACTCTGGGAAGGTGTGAAGATATAAATTGTCTCCTCAGAGGTCTACGCTTTTCAGTTGTATCCAGTCCACACAGGCTGGATCAGTATGTGTTTCTGCTGAAGCACCAGCTTGAGGGATCTGTTACAGAAACTCAAGAGGGTGTTATGTTTCAAGAAAAGATGACAGGAGCAGGGGGAACTCACTACCTTCTATGGTACCGGCAACATTCAAGTTGTGTCCTGTGTCTTCCATCTGTAGTCTCCAGGCTGGGGTACCTCAAACCCATCAAAACAGAGTCTGGTCTTCTGTCTTAACACATACCTTGCTGATCTGACTCTCCTCTAGAATACAGAAACAGTTGTTTCTGCTGAAGCTGTCAACTCCCTGAAGGTATAGAAGAAAGGTAGTGAGGTGATCTTAGTAGAATGGAGGGTGGGAAGAGGGGCAGTTTATCAGTCAGAAAAGTGACTGAATTGCCAGCTTCCCATAGGAAACACTGGATAAAAGAGAATGAGTAGCAGGGAGAAGGTGAAGGTCTGCTTTTCTTCATGTCTTTCTCTAAGTTAGTTGCTGAAATCTGTGAGAGGTGCCTGCCACTACTCACATCTCAAAATCTCCTTCAGAACAGCACTCTAACAAAGAGGATTCTATTCACTAGAAAATGTAACTGGTGCTTGTGACTGACTGGTTTCGCTTAGTCTCCAAACTCCAGCAGGCTGAGAAGCAGTACCAGCCTGAAGGATCTTAGCACCAGGGAGGTGAGAGCTACAAAGACAGTGCAGAACGTCCTGATTCTCAGGGGTGTTGGTTGTTCGGTGAAAAATGCAAAAGATTACATTTGACATAATCTTGCTTTACCCCCAAATTTATGAACAAGTGTTGTCAAAAAAGTGGCTGTCAGCTAGATTAAGTTTATTAAAGCCACATGAAGAAATAAAAACAAAATAGATGATCCAAGGTCACCCTGTATTCTTTTCTCAACAGTTGCATTTCAGCTAGAGGACAACGCTAGGCCAAATTAATGTCTGTAACAAACAAACAGATGTGTTCTCTTTGAAATAAATGCATGCACTTATGCTCTGCCTCCATTAAGTCTGTTACCAGGTTTTTATGAGATTTGGCAAGTGCAGTGTTATCTGTTAATATCTGAAGGTGGGAGTGTTCAGGGAGTTGTCTGGAAGGCTTGCAAGACTAGATCTGATCATATCCACCCACACTAATTAACACATTACATAAAAGTACAAGTTTCTCTTTGCAAACATCAGAATCACTTGCCCAGGCACTTTCTATGAAGTTCTAGAAGAACCATAGGGATGGACTCCGTCACTTTTTAACAACAGAACAATGGATGAGTAGGCAGGGCATAGTTCCCACTTTCAGGGCTCACTCCTTTTCTTCATCCTGCTGAAAGATTGCCATCAGCAGGGATATGGCTGGAAGGACCTTCTTAAAGTTCACTAAGGTTGCATGAGGGAACATGATTTTTTTTTTCCTCATCAAAAACAAACTGCAAAATCAAATACTGAACATAAGGAATCAGATTTACTTACAAAGGACTCCTCCTCTCCCTGCCCTGCCTCACTAATTCTGAAAATTACTTTGTGTGAACACCGGCCTCTGAAAACACCCGGTACTTAAAAATCCTCCCATTTAAATAGGGTTTTTTTCTGTCAGGAGAACCTATGTCCCAAAACAGCTAACACTTCTGTATCATTCAAGTTTTAAAACAGCAGCCATCTCCTGTATCAAAACAATAGTAAGGGATCTTCTACTTCTTCATAGATTGGAGCAAGTAAAACTAATTTCATATGAAACTTCTGTGACCTGCTCCTACAGCTTCACCTAGATTCCTCCAGCAGGATAATAAATATATACCCTGATTTCGATTTACTCCAGACCCTTTGTATGACATCTGGCTTCAAGATGGTGGCACTGAAAAGTGCAGTAATGACATTGGAAAACAGAAGGAAAAAAAATAATTGGGCAGTAGAAAGCAGGAGGTAGTGGAGAGAGCAGGGAAAACCAAAATTAAAATAAGTCAAAGGGCGGAAATTCCTTTGAGAAGGCCTTAGGCTTCAACAAAGCTTGTCGACATTTGCAGCACTTTAAGATTACCCAATACTAACCTTATGTGAAAAGGGACAGTAGACCTCAGCAGGCATTCCAGAGGAGCCCTTCTATAAAAAAAAAAGTCTTCAAATGTATCCATCCAAATTTGCAAGTAGCTCACTGGATGGAGAGCGCTCTAATCTCGCAACACTCACAAGAGAAGAAACTCTCTTACCCAACTCTTCTTACTATCTGAAAGGCAAAGTCAATGTTTTCCTCATTATTTTCTGTTTGCTGCATACCTCTCCCCCACTGTGACTGCTATTTGACCTGCTGTCCGCTCAGAGACCCTGAGGGAAAGAGAGAGGGAAGTTTGTGTGTGTGTGTGTGTGTACGAGAGGAGTGAGATGATGAGAGTCTCAGCTATGTTCTGACTTTTTTATATTCATTAGAAAGAAATCAACAGCACTTAGTATGTAAGACAACCTCTGAAGACAGGCAACATCTTTTATGCAGTGCAGGAAAAGAGCAGATTCATCTAAGCAACAGGATTGGGGGATGAGTGGGGACTTAGTTTCAATGTGTGTACTAGATTTTACCTCCCTTTTGCATTAGCATGTTATCAATTAATAGAGTCTCAACATAAAGGTTTAAATTAAGGGGGACACTGCAGGGTGCTCTCTTTCACCAATTCTGTTTGCCCTTGCATTTACAAGCCTGGCATGCGTGACTGTGATTAATGAGAAACTAGACAGGATTAGAGTGCATAAGGGGATGTACGTATAATCATCTCTTCCCCTCCCAAGCGTCTCTCGATAAATATTGTACCTTCAGTATTCCTGGCAGATCCTGGAAGGGGTTCTCCCCTCATTGCACTTGTGTTTTCAATGAACTGGGTTTCTTCTCAAAAAATTGACAAAAAATAAAGCTGAAAGCATCTATTAGGGTGGGCGTCAAAATCACAGAGATCAAAGTTTCTTTTCATCCTCTCCAGAGAGCCTCAGACATCTAGGAATTCAAAACAAAACTCCATTGTAAGAAACCTTTTCAAAGCTGGCACAGTGCTACAGCTTATATGTTCTGCACTCAGAAGGAAAGCACTGACCCAGATAGGAGAGCTCCTCAAAATACCCATGCAGGCAGAGGGGCTTGCATCAATGGCACTTTTGGCAATATCTTCCTCTTGAACTGCTCAAGAAGAGATTTATCTGCTAACTGCAGTATGGTTCAGACCTTCAGATTTTAACATTCACATCATTCCACCTAAGTAGTTGGTCTCCATTCTACATGGCAGAACCAAAGGGGTATTTCAAATACAGCTCACAGCTTTTCTGCTGTAACTCAGATCTCTTTTAGGAAATGATGTATTTCAGCATATGTTTTTTTTCCTCTTCTAAATTTTTGTATAGAACCTCTTGGTTTATGAACAAATACTGCTTTTCATTTCTATAGCATGTTCCATTTGAATTTACTGAGCTTTTGACAAACATTTAGGTAGTCAGACTTAAAACTTTTGAGGTAGGGAAACACTAGAAATATCTGCTTTGCAGGTCAGGGTGCACCTTGAAATTATGCAGTTTGCCCCAGGTCACACAGGACATCTATGGAAAAGCTCGCAATTCAAGTCAGAAGCCTTAAATTCACTCCTTTACTTTAACCACATGGCCTTCCTTGAGGCGCTTCATTCAGGAGGTGTTCTCCAGTTAGGCTTGCTACTTTCCTGTATTGCAATTATATTAATTCCTCTTTTAGTAGTGTTCCAATATGTTTCAACTACATTACTATGCCTAGTGCTGCACACTGCATCTGGCATAGGAATGCAGTGTTGCTCTTACTGGGCTGTCAAAGAGAGTATATCATTACAAAAATAAATAATGTCTAGCTGCTTCTGGCATTTCAGTCCAAGCAGTATTTATCACTTTTGGCTGATGAGTGCCTGATTCAATGCCCCTAAAAAACAATGGGTGTATCCCCAGTTGAATTCAACGTGCATTTAATCAGGTCTTTGCTAACTGTGCTTCCAAACTTCACATTTCATGAGCACTACAGCAATGTGTCTTCTATTTTTAGAGCATTATTTCACTTACTTCACTGTGCAGATAGATACAATGGATTTTCTCTGCATGGATTATGTCAGTGAATGTATGTTTGTACAAACAGGCTCTAGTTTTAGTTCTAGATTTAGTTCATCCCCAGTGTGATGCTGCCTACATGCGTGGCAATCTGGGATTAATGCTAAAAATATATATATATATTTTATCATAAATGAACAAAAATACTCAGAAAGACAATTAAATTTCATATATGAGTTCAGTGACAGAAACAATCTTCCACTATTCAAACTGTCTGCTCTTCTGACTGAGCATTCCTCTCCAGACTTCACAGGTGAAGTAAGACAGCTTTCTTGGGCCTAGCACAGTCCTTCCAGACAGAAGTCCTGGGTGGCCTTTAACAAAGAAAACACTGCTCCACAGTTGCTCCTTCCCTGATGTGAGTTGGGAGTAGCTTCATCAAGGGATGTAAAGTGAAGAAAGGGAAGGAAGCTTCCATTAAATGTCCATAACTTCTAGTTCTTCAAAGTATTTGTTGAGTTCCCCATTCAAAAAGATGAAATGAAACCAGTAGCAGTTTGTAATTGCATTCCTCTGAAGAGAGGGGATAAAGCAAGTATGGGGTGTGATGTACTGCCTCTCAGCTGAAACAGCCTACAGACACTTTAGAAACAAAAATTACATCTTAAAACTATGAGTAGATTTAACAATTGAACTCTAAAGAATTAAACATCATATAAACATTTCACACTTTTTGTTTTTCTTTCCAAGAGTCCATAGTCTAGTCATTCAATCCTGTGCAAAGGTCATGTTACTATGGATATGACCTGCAAGAAATGTGTTGCCTCAGAGCAGTGCAAGTCACATGAACAGGCTAAAAGCCAAGCCTGCTGATTCACAGTCTTGTCAGGATTTTCATACTTGTGTTGGTTTCACTGAAGAATAGTCCTTGCACCATCATCAAGTCTATGTTCGTCCTTTAAAAGTGTTCATGCAAGTGTAGCTTCCAGAAAACTTGTGGATTTCTTCAAGTGCTGCCTGAGGGAGAATGCTGCAGGAGAAGCAGAAAGAAAATAAGCAGATCAGACAAACCTCTTAGTCTATTCTAATAAGAGGATGTGTAAATATGTGTTTATGTACACACATACGTAAGTATACATATTCTCCAAAATCGTCTAGTGAGAGTGCACAGACAAAACATGTGTCAGTATCCTGCTGTGAGTAGGCCTAAAAGAAGAAAGTTATATCAAGTCACTCTTTACAGAAATATTTATCCAAAAAGGTCTGTAAAAACTGTAACTTGGAAGATACCATCTTGGTTTATTCCTCCCAAATATTGTGCAGAATCTTGTACTCTGAAATACACAAACTGAGTTCTCTGGTTAACTTGCCATGTATTTGTGCTAGGCATGTGGCCTCCTTATCATAAGGTATGGATATAGATCAATTTCCTGACAGCTACTGTAATGGAAAATAAATTATTAATTCTTACAATAACGCAGAAGGAGAACAGCCCTTTTTCAGTCTGTAGAATTTCTGGGAACTTTTGAGAGCATCCCAAATTTTACATACAGAGTGAAGCATTTATTGTGAACTATTTTTTCTTGTTCGAGATGCAGTATTGTAATTATTTTCCACAGAAATCTCATGGCCTTATTTCAGTACTTGACTGAAGTAGGTTTTCCAAAGGCTTTAGTGCAAACTCTCATGGAAACACAATTTCAAATGTCCCTTCTCTTTAGTTGTTTCAGGATATGAAGTTAGGACTTTCTTTTCTTAGGGACTTTAAAATTCCTGTCCTAATCATATGCAAAAATATTTTTTTAATAGTTTCATTGCTTTAACACAAGCAATGCTCTCTAAATACAGCTGTGATACCTTATTGTACAGTAATCCTTTATAATACAAAGCCCAGAGTCCAAAGAGTACTAAATCAAAATCAACTACACGCATATGTTAATTGTTAAGAAATTTTGTAGATACAAATACCAGTTCAGACCTCAGGAATCCAAATTTTGGGAGTGAAACTGGTTTCATAAAGGGGTTATACCCAGGGAAAGCACCTACAAAGGTAATCTCAGAAAGCTTTCTCCCTGTTGCTTCTATGACTATCTTTCACGGGAAGGAATGAACCAATCTGATCTTGGATATCGGGTTACAGTCAAACTGAGGTTCGCCTTGGTGGTCAGACACAGAGTACTGTAAGCCAGTCTTGCCTAACTGGCTAGGCTATTGCTGGGCAAAGGAAATACTTACCTTTTTAGGATGACAAGAACATGCATTGTCCATGGAAGGAGCAGGAAGGCTTGATTCATCTGAACAGCTTCTACGGTCCTCCTAGCCACTGTCTCTGGCTTGAGAGGAGGAAAAAGATTAGGGAACCTGAATAAATAAAGTAAAAAAATAAAATAATTATTTGTTAACCAAACTCCTTCTTTAAGATATCACTGTCCAAGTCCTGTTACTCACTAAGCTATCGCTGGTTACTGGCATTCAAACATGCCTCAAAGCAGGCTGGAAGAAGCAGAAAGCCCAGTTCCAACTAGTACTATTGGGTTAGCTAAATGGTTAAGAATGTACATGTTGGTGCCTTTAGGGGGAAGTGGCAGAGTGTATTCAGAACCTCCTTTGAGGGATTTTCTTAAACTGTATGCAAACCAATACCAAAATGCTGTCTTTTCCAGTGTTGGTGTTTCTCTTCTTCTTCTCTGTTGCTCTTTGCTTGATTCAAATTCTTGACAGGTGAAAGACAAGTATTTTCCCCCATTGCTTTTAATCCCAAACATAAGGCTTTTCCCAGCTCCAGCAATAGCTTGACACTGCATATTTTCTTGACTAAGAGAGCACAAACTATATTAATAGGTTATTTAGTCCATTGTAAAAGATTAATTTCGTCAGCCATTAGTCTTTGAATTTAGCTTGTTCTCTTAGACAGAGGCAAAAAGGAGGTACTGGTAGCTTTACTTCTGTAAGTGGCTGTCATTCCTTTCAGTGGGAAAAAATTAAGTATTGCAACAAATAAAGAAGGAATTTGTACTGTTAATTCTCAAGTAATTTGTAGACTGCTCCTTTTGAATGACCTCAATTTTTAGATTGCCTCCCTTCCCTCTCTGGTGGCTGCATATGGCCCAAATACACTCAGGGAAAAAATAGCTTTCAGTTTTCTCTGTAGAAGCAAATGTCTCACCCAGTACAGGCAGGCTGGATGAATATGCCAGCAAAGTGAGGGAACCAGTCTGATGAGTCCCAGGTGGCCTAGAGTGACCTTCTGTTCCCAGGCAGCCAAATGAGACATCAAATTCTCTTAACTAAATGAAGCATTAATTAGGAGTGTATTCTGATGATTCATTTAAAATGAGATGCTTTATTCTAGTTCCCCTGGACTGACCTGATTCTCATGCCCTGAAACATCTCTGTGCTCGTGTGGAAGGGCAGGACTGTTGTGGCATTCACTCCAGGACAGTCTAGCAGCCCCAAGGTCAGGCTCTCCATAAAGGCAAAGGACGAGGCTTTGGAGGTGCAATAGTCAATGGCACCAGGGATGGCTGACAAGGCCAGGACAGAGTTCAGGCAAACAATGTGTCCATTCTGCAACTCCAGCATCCTTGGCAGGAATGCTTTGGTGGTCTGAAGAACAACAGAGTTAAAAAAAAAAAAAGTTTGCTCAGCAGAGATATAGCAAAAACAATAGTAACTGAAAAAAATAAGGTGACGCAGAGACAACAAGCCAAACTGTGCTGTTCATTATGCAAGGAAAGAAATGGGAGAGTACCTTGTTGCTTTGTTATTTTCTGAAAGATTCTAAACAGGCCAGAAAAAAAAGTTTCTACTTTTTGGGTAAAAACAAAACAAAATCTTTCCTAGCACGTAAGTAAGCAGTACCCATGGATAAAGGCCATGAACAGAATGCTTTGTATGTTCTTAACCATGAAGCGGATAAAGTTCAACAAAGTGATAAAATCACAAGAAGTTATTTTTTTATTACTATTATCTAATTCAAAATGGAATGAGTTTCACACTAGCTTCCTTTCCTGAGCAAGGTGGTCTCATGCTCCTCTGATGTTCCATACACATCACTGTACAAAAAACTATCCTCTGTGAGCTCAGGCTTTCTCAAAAGAAATCAAGTGTTTTACTGGAAATCACAGAATGGGGATACAAGAGCGTCAAATACTGTGTTACTACTGGAAAAATGAGATTTTTTTAGACTTCCTTCCTCCGGCCTTTGCCCCTCACATTGTTTTTTCTGCCTCCTTTTCATGTCAGACTGATTTTACCAAGCATCATGTAGAAGGACCTACTAGCAGCCAAGTGTTTACTGGCTGTAATCTGTCACTCTCATTTCCAATTCTGAATACATGTGATACAAGAGCTTCTCTTACCCAGAACTGTCCCAGGGTGTTTATATGTTGTGATTTGAGCAGTGCATCATCATCGCTGTCCATCAGACTCTTACCATGGACCACAGCAGCATTGTTCACCAGGATAGTGATATCACCCACCTGCAAAAAAAGCAAATTACTTGTTACCACTAGTATCTCTCCTCACAAATCAGCAGTCACCACTGTATCTGAATATCTATTATTGCCTAAATACATTATTATTTTCATAGCTTTAGACATTTTTGCCTATAGGCCTTGTAATCCTTCCAGATCACTTAAAACAGGTAGCTAGGCTTTGTACAACATAATCTGGATGGTCACCCTTCTTTTTTCCCAATTTGCCAATGTAGTTTTTTTCTCATCAAATATGAGCTGTTGCTAAATTCTGCCCACAAACAGTGTTTCCACAGACACTAACCTTTTCCCTCACAGCTTTGGCTTGCTGATAGACCTCCTCTCGATTTCCTACATCACAAATGAAATAATAGCATTCCGTCCCCATCATCCTGATTTCCTCTGTGGTCTCCTTCAGGCATTTCTCAGTTCGACCCCACAGGATGATCTGCAGCAAGAAACTTTTGTTAGAGTCAAACCGCTTCTGCTTCAAATCTAAAATAATTAAAACATGCTTCTAACTTCAACAATTTGATGAATATCTTTGATGTGTTTTCACTGCCAGCCCTGTTGGATTGTTTCATTTAAGACTAACAATGATTTTTCTATTACATGAGGATGGGACTTGAGTATCATGGTGGTAGCTGTATCCCACTGCTGATACTCTCTTTACAGGTTCTTTACAAGCAACACAATAGCTAACACAAAAAAAATCAGATCTTTAGCCTAACATGACAAATATATGAAACACTTGTTTCATTAAATTTCAAATCTATCCCTGCTTTTGCTATACATACACACAGAGAAAGATAAATTTATTCTAAAATCACAGACCTTCCTGTATATCTGGTATGTTATCTACTTCTTGTTCTGTATTTGGAGATAGTATCTGCTCTGCAGTAAAACATTTTTTTTCAGCATATCATATGTAACTATTTACAATGCTGTTTGCAGGCCGGTGTCCTATGTGCATTTCAAACAAATGCTTCATCCTAATACAGACATTTAATGTTAGAAATTTCAAGCAAGAATTTATTTTGCAACTACTATATGCAAGATTTCACTTGCCACTCTCATTTAACACAGTAAAAATGATACAATAGTTCTTGTACAAAGAATAATTCTGAATTTCCATGGAAACAAAACATTCAAATCATAGAGCATGGATTTGATATATAATGAAGACATAACCAGCGCAACCCTATCTGTATTTCTACACCATCATGGAGGTCAGAAATAGAAATAAGTTGTAAAGTTACCAGGTTCATTAACTTTCATTGTGGGGCTTTATCCAGTATGATTCTTCCGAGTAAGCCAACAATATTTGTCTCAAATATGAAATGGGTGCTTCCACCACTGTCTTTCAAACATTAATCTACAGCTAAACAGATGAAATAAAAATATTTTTTTCCTAGTATATAACCTTATTTTCTATTTCTTTTAAGGCTACTGGAAGGAATATAATTTCATCTCTCTGTTACCTAAGACATCTATATATGAATCAATCTATCCTTTTTGCTCTTCAAGCTAAGTCTTCTCAGCATTCATCATGTTATGAATGGTGAGTCCCTTGTCATTCTATTCAAAAAATAAATTACTGAATGGAGCATGTTACTGAAATCAGCTGTCTGCTCTGTGAGTCAAACAGCAAGATCCAAAAGAGAAAGGAGAAAAGGTTGCTACTGCTCACAATTGCAACTGTGAGCACTGAAAATGCAAAATTACTATTTAGTACTAAAAAATAAATGAGGACATTCACATAGTCAAATGCAGGTTTACTCTGATCAGGGGACTGGGAAAATGGGCTTTGAAAATGGAAACAGCTTTGTTGCCCTCAGAACGGTGCTATTTCCAAGCAGTGGCCTTATCACTTGTGATCCAGGATTACGGTTGCTTCCCATACCACCGTATACTGAGTATGAATCTGACTGGTATAGTGATTTTTTAACGGTTAAAAATAAGTACACTTAAACTTCAAAGATTTAATAATCTTTGAGTTTTCCAAAAGTTGAAAGAACAGGAAAGAAAGGTCTAAATTATATCACTCAATTAACTTAGTAACAGCAAGATAAACATAAAAATTTAAGAGCTGCTGTATTCCCTCCCCACAACAAATCCCTTGCAGAGAGCTTTAACATGCTTATATTTAAGAAGTAGTTAAGCTTATCTCATAACTGGTACTAAAACTAATCTCTGGCAGGGTCAGAGAGCTCTTCCAGTGCGACTAAGCAAGGCTAAAATACAGAAGTACCTGGGTCCTCAACCATTTCCTAAATGAGTTAAATTTACAATTAATCCCATTTATAAATCATTGGCACATCTGTGAACATAAACACACACAGACTGACAGACTTATATTCTCAAAATCACCAAAGGACTAATGAGTTGGTTAACCAGAAACTTCAGAGCATGTATAAATATGCCAGAGCCATTTCATGGGAAATCTTATCTCAGGGGAAGTAATTTTCAAGGAAAAAGCTGTGACCAGACCTAAAAACTGTAAGAAAGCATATGGTTAAAAATGCGGCTTATATATTGGTCTGTCTTCAAAAGTCTCAGCATATCACCCTTGGCCATCAGGCTTTGGCATCTACACAAAGCTTGTAAAACTGATGGCTATTTACTCGCTTCTGAACTCAGAGCTAGACTGGATGATATTTCTTATGCCTACTCTGCAGACTTGAAGAGAAATCAAGAACATGTGAGAAATTTCACAAGCTTTCAGGAAATATTTACAAAATACCGTTCAACTATAAGCACACACACTTACTTGCTCCCTCTTTCACAACCTACATCTCTGTGGATAGGGGAGAAAAAAACACTACAAAATGTCAACTGTAAGCATCAAGTCTGATGCCCACAGAGTTTGTATCAGTGTGAACTTCAACCTCTTAGGAGGATTGGATCAGTCAAAAGCAGACACTAAAAAATTAACTGACAAGTTGAAGAGTGAGGGAAGGTAGGAGAGGAAGAGGAGAGAAAGAGAAATAAGGTGTCAGACAAGGGGAGTAAGGCAAGAGACTGACCTCACATACCTAGCACTCCAGGGTTTCGCACTGCTATTGCAAAATAAAAAGTAGATCCCCCACTCTTCACTTTAATCTGTTTCAAACATCCATACTCAACTGGGCAACTCATCCAACTCCTATTCCCAAGAGTTGCCACTGATGCATTGAATGTCAGGAAATATACATGGAAGAATAGTTAAGCAGAGGACGACCTGTCAAAGGAACATCTGTCTGTGATGCAACTCTTGGACATAACATTTTTTATGCCCCAACAGTTACTTTGGGACCTTTAATATCCTACAGGCAAGTCTTGCAAGGTGACCCCATTAAAATCTGGGCCATCTGGGGAAGACAGAATTTGCTGGTTATCCTGCTGACAGCATTAACTTCAGTACTGATTTTTTTCCATGGGAAGTTTTCATGTCCTTGATACTGTTCACACTCAGGTGAAGGCTTCAGCCTGCGTAAGAGAAAAGCAGTAAATAAAAGACCATTCTTTTGTGAGAGGTGAAAGTTCCCTAACGACACAGTGGGAAGTGAGGTTTCCTGCCATCATTTCTGCTACTTTTTACAGATGGATAAAACTCAAAACTCAATACAACATGCTTTTGGTCCAAATTCAAGCTTGACTGCTCCTACAAGATCATATGAGACTTTCAATTTCTCTCTTGCATCTGGCCAAATTAAATTGGCACAGGCTTCCCTCTGGCCTCCTAGGATATCAGATCTTACAAAGAGACAAGACTTTTAGTTGCTGCATTAGCCTCATAGTTGAGGCTTCTGTTGCTCCTGAACTCTGTCTTTACAGAGGGCTTTGGCTTTGTGTTTCTGTGTAGGCATTACTTCTCTCTTCTTGCTTGCAGCAGTTTCACCAATGTTTTTCTAGGTCCTTACTCTACTATTGCCTCCTGAGATGTCCTACAAACCTACGCATCAGTCCTCTGCTCTCCTGAATTCACCTCCTTCTGCAAAATCTGCGATTTGACAATTTGCTGCTTGGCACTTAAAAGGTTGTGTTATTTATAACATTCTCACTAAACCATTCAACTAGAGAGCTTAAGAGTCAGGGATAATCATGCATGTTCTCGATGCTCCTGAACAAAAACTTTTGCTCACTGTTGAACTGATAAACGATTGTGGGCCTGGGCCTGTGTTTTGCTGATGCCCCCTAAGCTCCAGTTAGTCTAAAGCTATGCAGTTGGCACTTCACTTCCCTTTATATGCAAACAAGCATGTAAGGAACTCTCATTTTGTTCTTCGCCTACTCAACATCAAGAAAGGCATCATTTAGCTTTGTCATTTAGCTTTCTCACGCCCTAGTTAGGATTTGAGGGCTCTGCATTTGTAAGGAGTCTAGATCTGCAGGTTAAGAAATGGTCTATTTCATTAGGAAGCACAATTTTCAAAAGGTAGACATGGGCCTCAGAGTCTGGTCTGTGTCCCTTTTCCTTTTTAAGTTTAATTCTAAATTGGCAATAAGTGTGTCCCAACTGGAGGCTAAGTACTGGAAGAATGACTCTTACAGACACAGAAGTTCCTGTCTGGGACAGAGGAAAATGCAGAGGAATAAAGGAGAAAAGAGACACGGTGTTCCTTATTACACAGCCTGTCAGGATGTTGCACAGCCACCTATTCACAGTAATTTAATGGTGGACAGAGGAATATTTAATTTGCGTTTTGGATCAGTTCTTGGACAGACAGTTTTCCATCCTGGAAAGAATCCAGCCCCTATTTCTTCTCCCCCTTCACCTCTCGTCATCCTCTCCAGCCTGTCCCTCCCTACTGCACTAGACACGCTCTCCTTTCAAAAAGTTACTGACCAGAAAATTGTCGAGGGCAACAGCCCAGTGAGGCGGTTAATCCCCGCTGTGGCAAGCCCGCTCCTGGAGGCTTCCTGCCCTGCGGTTACCTCTGGGTGACCCCAGTGGTTGGCAGTCAGGGAGGCAGGTGGAATGTTAAAGCAATCGCTGATGCTCCAGGCGGCTAGCGAGAGGAGGGGAGAGCCCGACAGCAGCAGGGTAGGAGTCTTCCTACCATGGGACATACAAAAGACTAGATTTATGATGACAGAGGAACTTTGCACGCCCTCCTCTTAATTAACTTTACAGTAGGCAAGGGCTGTGACATCACAGCTTAGTGCAGATTTTCCCAGGATTTATTCATGAGCAGATTTTTGCAAAACAAACTGTATCTCTAGATCTTCTCCCCTCTGGCAAGTCACAGAACTCCTTATCTGGCCTCAGGAAAATCATTTCAGCTAGAGTGGCAGGCTCAGTAAACGCTGCATCCTCCACTCCCAGAGGACTCATTTAACTCCGGACTTAATCTGCTAATGAGACATGCCCTGAGGTCGGAGGGGAGTCAAAAGGAAGGTTTTAGCTGCTGTTGCACTAAGGCAAGACTTTCTAACAGAGGCCTGCACTGGCTACTTGCCAAAAGC